CCCTAATGGGTCTGCCACTTTCACCTCCCCCTCCCCCTCCGCTTTTGTTTAATCCGGAGATGCATTTAGGATTTCATTTGTATGTGATTTGCATACAATATTGGAGCGGAGGCACTGGGGGTCTTGGCACCCTCCAATCTGCTGCCTCGCGGAGGGGAGGGAGAGAGAGAAGGCAGAGATCGAGGGGCTCAACTGCCCCCCCAAATTGGGTATGCAAATCTACTTTTCCCACATCAGTTGCCCCAGAGGTTGGTGCATAGGTGTGAAAGTTAGTTTTGGCAGTCTGAATAAAAAGCATTTTCCCCCGGGCGCATCCATTTCAGCTACATCAATCCAACATCCCAAACCCAATCTTTGCAAAATCTGCTAGAACAAGAGCCAGGGTTTGTTTGGTGGGTTTTTTTGGGGGGGGGGGACGCAACTCTCAGGAAGGGCCCCGAACTAGAGTTTTGCTTGTGAGAAAATTCCGATTTATGGTCTCCTAATTGGATTTCATTTTTATCCCCCCCCCCCAAAGGCGTTTTACCAATTACAGATACGACTGGATTTAGGAGGTATTGAATTTCACAGGCTGAGATTTCCACATGATTACTTTAACAATTCATCAATAAGACAGCAGCTTTTTTTGGGGGGGGGTTGTTGTTTAAAAGGTATTCCTCCCACCCCCTTCTTTAAAATGTGCACTTTCGTACTGACATTTGTCAGTTGCCGGGGAAAGGTGAATTGGAACGGTGGGGTTTTGCTGAGTGTTGAACCTGCCTGAAATTTAAGTTGCGGTGTGTGTATGTAGCTTCACTTTGAAGCCCCGTCCTCCCCAAGGGCATCTCTGCACAATAAACACACAATTGCGTGGCACCAGAAGCAAAGAGAGCAGCGCAGTCTACAATGCCGGCAAACGCCGGCATCCATTGTAAGAGGCAAGAATATGTGTGTGTGTGGGGGGGGGAACCTATACAATGGCCGTCATTTAGCACGCACACACATAGCTGCTGTGCATTTTTTGAATGAAGCCCTTTCACTGAGGAGTATTTTTCAGAAATCCAGACTCTCATCCTTTCGTTTGTAACCTCCTTGGGGCAGGAACCTGGGTAAAGGGCTCGTTTCAGTGCCGACAATATATTTACTGAATGCCTCTTAACCTCGATGGTAT